GGGGTCCCCCGCCATGCCGGCGCCGCTCGGCCGCGCCCCCTGCGGGACGGACCCGGGCACCGCCTCCTTCCCGCCCGCTGGGACCGGAATCAAGCCCTCCTCACCCATCCCGCGCGGGTCTCCCAGCTCTCACTGCGTGAGGATGGGGGACACAGACACTCACAGCCGGGGGGGCCCCCCTCTGGGCCAGCACAGTTTGCAGGGCTCTGGCGGAAACCTGCCTCTTCAGCGCAAAGAAGGCCTAAGGCTTGTGCAATTAATGGACTCAGGGCAATTAAATAATTAAGGGCTCAGGGGGAAGGAAATGCGGAAGGCTTCTGGCTCTCTGGAACTGGAGGGGTGCAGCCCTGAATTCTGCTATCATTCACAGAAAATGCTCGTTTTTAGAGCTTTCGAGACAGAGCGCTGTGGTCCTTGTTATATTACATTGTAATGCTTATAATATTAACACGTCCGGCTGCAGTTTCAGACCACAGTTTCAGTTCCGGAGAAGCCTATAAAAATATAAAACTGCAAACATAAAAAAGCTACTTAAGTAAAACTTGCAACAGACCGGTTTTCCTTTTTTTTCCTTATCAACGCGTTACTGCTACAACCACTCCCAGCACGAAACAATGAGATTTCTCCGCATCTGGTCTGCAGCTCCTTGCTCTGCGTCCCGGCTGTCCCGGCATCTGTTCAGCCCCCTTTATTTAAATTTAGACATTACAGCGCGTTCACTCTGACTGCAAAGGCAACTTCAAACAAACAGAAAAATATTTGCATGTGGGCTAATTAAAATCACGACGCCAAACTTCGCATTTCAGCGTTATCGGATGGCGAACGATTCAGCTACCGTACAAAGCACAGAAAGTCCCAGCTCTGACGCACGGAACACTATCAGCATTGAGATACGAAACGTATTCTGCATCTAACTCGGAACGGACCCTATACCGACATGTAGAAATTAATTCAAGATATTCTCCTTCTAATTTAAGATTTCCGAAAACACACAATGCGTCTAAAATACTATTTTTTGCCATTCGCTGTTCCGTCCCTGGGTGATTAATTATAGCTACTATACCTCCGTAAGACTGTCAATGAGTTCCGACATAGGGCGTTCCGCTGTGCCTTGTAGATTAAAATCTGTATATAAAGAGCTATTTCTTCGCACCTTATAGCTACATGCATTGCAATTTGTAACAACGCGTTAAGAAGGCGGTGCTGAATTATAAAGAGGATGTCACAACCTGCTCAAACATCCGTCTAACCTTCCACCGCAGCGTAACAAAAGAAAGAAGCGTCAAGACACGGGTCTATAATAGGATTCTCTGAACCGCTACCTGCACCGGACCCGCTCCTAATTGGATGACGCAGTTCCGCTCCTCCTCACCCAATCGGCAGCACGGTATGGAGGCGTACTGCACGCGCCCCTGGTGGTAGCGGTGGACAAATTAGCTCTGTGCAGGCGCACGGATGAGCAGTTCCTGCTCTGGCGATGGTAAACCTACTTGTTCAAGGGGATGCAACCACTCCGAGAAAGCAGGCGTCCATTGGGAAATCAGGCTGGGGATTTTTTTTTTAAATAAAAGAACAAAAAAAACTGTAGGGAACTTAAAATCATGCAATTTTCCTCAGAGAAACCACACAATTTCTACAGAATTGATAGAAAAAAGTGGGCCTTCCGTCACAAGGCCTACCCAAGTGAAACCATAAGATTTTAAGTTACAAGTATTGCAAAAGATGCAATATTAAAACCCAACTTGAATCTGCTTACCCGTTTAGCAATGGGAGAATTTTAACACTTTATTCTGTAAGGGTCACTACAAACACCACTCTTACTTAAGAAAGAATAAATGTATGTGTTGATACCTGTACCCTAACTCCCATCTCCCCCCCCCGCCTAAGTTTAGAGCTAGCTGGACAGAGTCAACACCCTGTATCAATAGTCCTACCCCCCCTTGCACCAGGAACCCACCCAAAATACTTGCCCTGACCAAGCCAAAGGACCCCTTCATTAAAACACCACCAACTTGCAACCAGAGAAGACTTTATTATTCCATTGAACAGATGCAGTACATTCTGAGAGGCCTCGGGCACACAAGAGGCAGGCCGACAGACGGGAGGCCTGTCCCACAAGAGAAAGGGGCCGAGTTAAGCGGACAGGAGATGGCGAGATGGCTGGGGGGGGTATAGGAGAGAAGGGGGCTTCAGTCCTTCATTCATCTTGCACTTTTAAGGCACCAGGCAGGCAAACGATTCTGCAACATGCCTCTCCAGAGCACTGTCCATGCGAGAAGGAGACTCCGATTGCGGTCTTGACAAATAGTTGCACACAAAAAAAACACAGTGTAACAGCAGTAAGTCCATAAGAACAGCAGAGCAAATAGCACACGAACAGGTCTCCCACCCTGCGGCTGCCATCAGCCCAGGTTTCACACCATCTGAGTGCCAGGCTCCTTTGTAGCATGTTTGACGGTGAGGGAATTTTTTTTTAAATCATCAATACAGCCATGGGGTTTGCTAAGCAGAGAAAACTACGTACTGCAGAAGAAATGTTTGGGTCAATTATTGTTGAATGGGGAAGAAGGGATCTCCCAATTTTCCTGGAGAGCCCCAGTTGAACCATTTATACAGGTTGCCATGAAAGCAACTTCTAAAGCAGCAGTGTCCATCACAGGGCCTGGAAGACTCATTTAGTCTTTGAGGCCACACTACATCAACCTGGCTAAAGAGTAGGAACACTTGTAAAATTTACCGAGCAATCAAGCAAGTAATTAACTGGCCATTTAAGGGACGCTGGTTCTTGTGGGTTAACAGGACTCAAGATTTGTTTTAAATCAAAATCTTAAAAAAAAAAAGTTAAGACCTATAAAGGATCACAGTTCAATCGCTCCAGGTTGAACAGATTAAGATGAAAAGCTGAAAACCCTTCAAGTCCACCATGGGCTAGTTCCCCTAAAATCATGTGCTTAATTGAGCAATACCTCACAATAAGTCAGTCTTTAGGAATAGATTTGTGATTTGGGGTGACTCAGAGATACAGGGGATCTCCTGGGCCCTGACAAAAAGCCGCTTTTCATATCGCCGTCATCCCATGGCTTGAAAATATATTAGTGTAGTAAAAAAAAACTGAAACTTTTGTTCCAATTTCTTTAAATTGCTTGAGAGGTTATTAAATCTTCCAAAAAGGGGTTTAAACTCCCTGAAGACGCAGACAAATATGTCTTCGATGTCGCAGCGACAGGACATTGGTGCTACAAAAGGGTGCTGCCAACCTGTACCTTCCACTGCCCATCAGTTCCATACCCAGAGGCAAGGACCAATGGGACAGGCAGGGCAGAAACCTGTACAAACACACGAGTATTATCTGAAGCAGGAATGTAAGCATGTACACCAGGTTTATTTTTTTTAAAAAAGTAATAAAATATTCTTCTAGAAGTCCCATTTTCTTTCAAACTTAAAAGAATAAAACGGCAGATAAGAGAGCCATTCACCGAGGAAGGTCCAGTCCCCTGCTGGAAGCCCAACATGAAACCCCTCTCCACTGCAACCTCAACGCCCGTGCCTCCGACTTCACTCGGGAGGGGTTTCCCCAGCAGCAACGAGGACGAGAGCTTCCTCTTATTCACCGCGCGCTGCCAAACACTGCTCATCTACACGACTGAGAGCCGAGCAACGCGGGTCACGTTTTCAACGCTTTCAGCGGTCGAGAACGCCGCCCGCGGGCGGGTCAGGAAAACGGAGGGGCTTGAGATGCGCGACACCGGAGAGCGAGATTCTCCAGGCTGGATTTTGCACAGAACTGTGGATGGCCTGGGAGGGCACCATTTTACCACCAGCCCTACTAAACCATCTCGGTGAAAGACTGGCCTTGCGTCACCGCTGCTTGACTTTGAGTTTGGGGGAGGTGTGTGTGTGCGGGTGTGAGTTGGGGGGAGGGTAGGGATTAAAGGTTGAAGGTTCAGCTAGTCGGCACCTAGGAGGAGCACCGAAGCCAAGGAGATGGCAATGTTTCCCCCAGTGTTCCACGCCGTTTTCTTTTGGTAAAAGCCGATGCATCAAAGCACCAGAGGGCTAAAGGG